GTGTTTATATAAAGGTCTTTTTAATTTGATTATGAATAGGTAAAATAATGTTACACTTTCAAAAATCAAGATTTTTTCAGGCTTACAATATAATTTAGTATGTCATTTTACTTATGTATGAAATATACATGATAATTATGTAGACAATGATAATAATAATAATAATAATAATAACAATAATAGCAATAATATTAATAATAACAATAATATTAATAATAGCAATAATATTAATATTAACAATAATATTAATAATAACAATAATATTAATTATAACAATAATAATAATGATAATAACAATAATATTAATAATAGCAATAGCAATAATAATAATAATAATAAAATAATAATAATAATAACACGAAGAATTTATTATGTCAAATGAATAATAGACCTCGTTTTAAATCATCCAAAATAAAATCAAAATAAAAAATAGACTTTGTGCTTTATCCGGTATTCACACTGTAAAAAAAGAATTTTATTTCAAGCAAAAAAAAACTTCCCAGTAAGCACAAAGACGTTTAAAAGACGTTTTAAAGATGTCTTTAAAGAGGTCTAAAAGGCGCACTTGTAGACGTCTAGATCATAAGGCTAAAAGACGTCTAAATGAAGACGTCTTTATAAAAACGCGTTTTAGACGTATTTTAGACGTTTTTTTAAAGATGAATTTAAGTACATGACGTAACATTTTTGCGTAGTATGTGGTTTTTATTCATTGTATTTATAAAATCATATATTGTTTAAATTTCGTATATACAAAGTATACATAGGAACCAGCAATCAAAATAATATTGCTGTAATCACCACAAACGGTTGATGCATCAAGGATAAATATAATATATAACAATAACAAATATATATCAAAACAGTATTATGAACATTTAAAACTTACCTTTATTAACATAATAACATTTATCATACCATTTACTAGCTAATTTTTGACCGCATGCTTGAATTATTATATGGCTTGTGGGTGTATAAAAACTAATAATACTGATATTTAACTTATATATTATTCTTGCCGTTTTCACTTATTATCATGATCAGTCAACTATCTATTAAATAAGCAAAATAATTATTATAAAAAAAAGATATATTAATATTATAGCAATTATTTTAGTGATTCCTGTGACAACAATTTTACCAATTGTGTAAAAAAGTAATTTAATTTAAAGTAATTTACACTTAAAACTTAAACAAATTATTGAAAATAATAAAAACTATGTTTTTTCTTTGAATATACGACATCTACTTAACGCGTAATGACAAAGCCGTCAAAAAGAAGTCATAATGACATATTTATAAACAGGTCTCAGAAAAGACGTCTTTTAGCCTTGATCTAGACGTCTTTTAATGCGTCTTTTAGACTATTAATTATGCGTCTTTTAAACGTCTTTTTAAACTTTAAAAAGATGCATTTTAAACGTCATTTTAAAATCGCATTTATTAAAGACGTCTAGAAGATGTCTTAAGAAAAGATTTCTTCTAGACGTTTTTTTAACGCTTAAATAGACGCCTTTTAAACGTCATTTTAAAAACGCCTTTATAAAAGACGTCTAGAAGATGCCTTTTAATTGACGTCTTCTAGACGTCTTTTTATTTTTGAAAAAGACGTCTTTTAAACGTCATTTTAAAAACGCAGAGAATCCTCGAGTTCCCCTGCCATACGATGAACTCGTTCTCCATGCAAATCTGTTTCAACATCTGAATCAAGTTTACTAGCATCTAGAAGGGTGTTGATTTCTTTAACAAATGCAATTGTCTTGGAATGGACATCTTCGAACGATATTGTCTGCAGTTCTTGTTTTGCTGACTCTACGATATTCCAAGCACTTATTTAATCCAGACTATTGTTATTTCTATATACACATTATATATGCTTTCTTCGGTAATAACTGTATCGTGTTCTAACGTACAGTCTGTTACAGTTTTTAGGGGCAATTTGCTAATGGTAAAATCTGATTGCTGGAGGACACTGTATTTGACACGGTACTTGCTTCAATGATTACGTTAGGCGTTATATTTCGCAAAAAAGTTTTTTTCTTAATTAACACATGGGTTTGACGCGGGAACAGATGCTTCTTCAACAACATTGATAATATGTTCATTAATTAGAAAACAGCTTGCGTTGTTTAGGATCACGGCCTGGTTAAAGCAAATCACGCTTCTTCTTTTCTTGTCTTTTTTTGGCACCGCTAGACTTTCTCCTAGACTTACATAATGATGAAATCTTTTGGGTCTAGTTTAAACGATCATTTAGTAAAGTAAACAGCATGAGAAAAACTAAATCACGTGAGTATTTGTTAAAGTCAAAAAAAATTTATCTGTCCTCTCCTAAAATATTTCTGAATTCGCCCCTGATATAAATGATACTTCAATTGTATTGTAAGAAAGTGAAGGGTTATGAACTTGCACTTGAAACAGTAACACTAAATGGTTTTATAGTTATTAATTATATGTTACATGTGGTATTATGGAGATGTACAATTTATGATTTGGAGGGGAGGGGGCGCCAAGGATGGATAAGTGCACCGGGAAATATATATAGATTCATTCACTTTCAATAATAAAATGTTATTGAAAGTGAATGAATCTATATATATAATGTATATAAAAAATAATAATAGGTTATATACAAACTATACCTACATTTATAGATTCAATCACTCTCAAAAACAAAATGCATATATAAAAATAATACCATATACATATGGCATTATTTTTTGCACTTCCCTAAACGACTACTTCTATGCCCTTATTTTTATTGACAATTATCAATCGGATACATTGATGTTCGATTCATATATGATGTTTTTTTTTGTATTTACCTATTCGTTGCACTTTTTCATTTCAGATTCATCAAATGGTGGATTTATGCGATATAGAAGAACAAAGTATTGTAAATACTTTGTATTTCTATATCGTTTTAATTCATTATAAATTAAAAAAAAAATTACTAATTATTGGTCCAGTCAACGTCTAAACTTCAATTTTGCATATCATATGCAACATTAAAGTTTAGACGTTGACGAAAGCATATGTCATTTTTAAGTAGTTTTTAGGCTTTTCTTAATGTGTTTCTTATTCATATGGTTTTACAAGCAAGGTGTGCAAGCAAAATTGAGATAAAAATTTTTTCTTAACCTTTAAGGAGAACTAATATTGTTCTTTGTTTAACTTAATTTGTTTAAATATAGTCGTTTTGATAAATAAATGTTTATTTGTTCTTGGTTTTTTATTTATTTATTTTTAGAAATTTAAAGCAAGTTTTTTTTTTTTTTTTTAGTGCAATTAAAAAGACCTACATCCATTTTTAGTGCGATTTTAAAGAACTAAAGTTTTTTTTAGTCACTTCACACAGTATAACTGGTACTGATTGGAGTAAGTTTACTATTTTTTATTTATTTTATATTGAATTTATTTTAAATTATATATTATGATATATATTATATTAGATATGTATTTTATGTATTTTAACATTGAAAAGTGACTGTAACTTGTTGATCACTTAGCTAAATAATTTTGTGCATTGTAGTCTAGATTCTTTGTTAAATTAAGAATAATTGATGTAAATAAATATTGTTTAACCTTTTTGATAAACGACATTTGTATATAAACATAAAAAACATGGATTTCAATAAATCTTAAATTTAAATAAAGTGTTTGATTAGAAAAAATCACAATTTGTAAGATTCTTTTACGTTTATTTACTTGTAATATGTTTAATTATTAATATGTAATATGTAAAGTTTTTATTTTATTTTGTAGCTTACATTAATTTTTCTTATATTAGATTGATTAGAATTAAATTGTACCAGAATATTAAAAAGCCATTTGCTATTGTTGAATTTTTAAATGGAAAAATTAATGTTTAAAAAGTAAAGCTTATATTAAAGGAAAAAGGCGGTGATGACATACTGTGAAAGTGATGAAGATGTTGTTGTTAGTGATGAAGAATTATATGGAAGACATTATTTGAAGAGTTCAAACAGCCAAAGAATATCTAACGTGATTCCAAATATAGCAGATTAACTATTTTTGTAAAAGTAAAATAATGATTAGTTAAAATAAAGATGTTTATTTTTTTTTACTGAATTATAGATGTTTTAAAATCAATATCAACTCACCATTTCCACAGTGAAATAGCAAGTTTTTCATTTGCAGAAAACAACATTGACTTCTAAAATTAAATAAATCTGCCTTAAGGAAAAATGATGTTGTCTTCAAATATATTGGTAAACAATACTGCCGCCCTAAGTAAAAACGCAGTAAACAACAAAAATGACATTCTGAGAAAAAGCCACTTTTAAATTTTGTGTGAACCTTACTTGAATATAATAATTAGACTTTCATGCCACATAGATTATGAATACAAAATACTTCCTTTATTCAATGAGAATTTATATTTAACCAAAACATCAATATATAGGCTGAAAAATCACACACTGCTAATTTAAACAATATTTCACAGCCGTCATCCTAGATAAAAACGCAGTATAATCAATACAAAAATGCATGCATACTCCAATATATATTTTTTCATAAATATCAATGTGTTTTTATAAAAGGCATTGTTAATCACAATCTAGCTTGATAATCAATGGTTTCCAAACAAACCTTAATTAATAGTGGAGTTATAACATAGAGCTAGACTGCGTCTAATTAATAGGAAGAATTTTGAGTAAAGAATACTTACAACCAACAAATATGATATTTATAACAACCAGTCCAACCCAGCAACATATTTTTTCCACGAATATCAAATAATACCATTCTCTTACCATTAGTTAGGAGTGCACTAGGGGCTCAAAAACCACAATTTACCCATTATCAAATTAATAATCAGTCTTTCCATCTCTTATTTTGTCAACTTCATTCAAAGTGTGTATAAGGTAGATAAAGTAAATTAGATTTTTTAAAACGTTTTATTAGAATAAAAAAGTACATATATAATTGAAAAAATATATAATATAAACGAAATTATATATTTTTTAAATTGTTCCAGAAAATTCTCCTGCTGGCTGGCATTAAACTCGATAAATTCGACAAAATATCATCGATTTTGTCTTGAGCCACCCCACGAGGCTTGTCCAACTGTGGAGGTTTTGATATTTTCTTTGTTGATGATTTCTTACAGAGGAAGTCTAATTGTTTTGTAAACTCCTCCGTATGAGAAGTTTTGTATTCCATTGTAAATTTACCTCTGCGTGTTCTCACTGCTACAATGTTCTTCAGATATATTTTTTCAGAAGATTTCTTTAACTTCTGTTGGGATTTGTTATCTTTCCACATGTATATATCTGAAAATGTCATTTCTTTCACATCCACCTTCCCTTTATTAGCATTCTGTACAGCTTTGGAAAAATCAGGAAAATCGTAAACTTTTTGTTTCTTCATGGAGAGCTCCACCTGATGATGAAAACTGTCGGCACTCATATATGTATGTCCTGGCTCAAAGTATTATAGTTGTATTTCATCCATATCTACTTCATCACTATTTACAATATATACTAAAAAAGACAGAAGGCACCAATTTTTATTTTGGCTCGAACAATTGTCGAGCCAAAGTGTAATCTTTTTCGAGTCCCTCTGCCTCAAAAAAAAAGCATAAAATGTACTAACAATGTCCTCCTTGTTCCTCCCAGTTACACCTTCATGCCATATACATGCCATGGGAACACCATGTGCTTTCTTCCCAAGAGGAACGAAACTCTCGTGGTAAGCCACTATCCTCTTTGTAAATATAACTTTTTTAAATGCATCCAAACGTGGCAGCATGATGACTTTCTGTAAATCTACAGAGAAAATGCTGCCATCATTGAGCTCCGCATCCTTTTTGTATAATTCTCTTGCTTCTTCATATCTTATCTTGTGATTAATATATTGTTGGCAATCATCACAATCATTATTTAAATTATCTGCATCGTGACCGTGTAAACAAAATTTTTCACAAAATTCACACTCTTCATGGCCCAAAGTTGCAAATGAAATATTTTTTTTCTTTATAGCTAACCTATAATATTCGTATGATATTTGTTGTTCTGGGTATTTGTGTGTAAAATCATTGTGCATCATGGTGATGGTCACATCACTTGGCAAATATCTTCTAATAGGAGCATGTTCCCTCCTGTAATGAGATACAGTTGGTTCAAATGATTCGATGTGCGCATCTATTAAATCGTCATGTTTATACTTCCTATCCGAAACATGTTTGCCACGTCCATCAGCTAATGGGGCTATTGCGGCAGTTGGAGTTTTGTTAAGGACCTCAAATACTGCACGGTCATTATTTGGTTTGTATCCTAGTGTTGTTAGGAAAAACTTCTTGCACACGGACTGCTTGATTGAGTCTTTATTACTGAAGAAGTATTTCCAGGTGTTTTTTCGTGCACCATCTTCAACACTTTTCCTCTTTACAGGCATGCGATCACATGTATTGAGGATAAATGTCTTCCTCTCCTTCCAGCCTAATTTTAAATATTGGGCGTTAATTTCAATACGTCGTCCCTCATTTATTTTGCTAATGCATTTTTTTTTGCAACAATCAACAATTGGCGTTAGTGCATACTTTGCTTTATATAGTTGCATCTTACGTTCTTTTCTTTCTTTGACACTTAAAGAATTACTTCTGCGAATTCGTATAGTTCCCTTTTTAGTAAATTGGACCGATGGAGATGCAGCTTCGTCCAATGGTTTATCCACAGATTCCTTTAACACTAAAACAAGATAAAATTTAATTATTACTTCGTTTAAGTACAGAACACGGTACAACCTATGTTATACATATAATTTATATGTTATATAAAATATACATAATAGATATACCAATTTCTTCTCCATTTTCCACCACATCCACTCTACTCTTTAAGACATCTTCGTCCATTGAAGGTTGAAGTGTTGTGACAGACTCATCTAAAACTGATAATTTAATGCATTGTATATCTGCATAAAAAATGTCACACAAGTTATCATATAATAAAAAAAACACGTAATATTCTTACCAATATCTCCTCTATCCTCCATAATTTCTGCCTCATACACTACGACTTCCATTTTATCAACAGTTACATCAGATACAACTGTTCTAGAATCCTGTAAAAGAAAGGGTAAAACATAACCAAGAAGAACCATACATTAGGTATTTACACAGTTATTTGTAGATTTTTTATAGTGAAACCTTGAGAAATTTGTAGAATATTTATTATTATGATCAATAAACACAATACACATAACCTTAGATACAAAAAATAGATTGAGACTACGGAAATATATAAATAAAACACTTACATCTAACAATGAAGATTTACATTTGTCTGAAGCACGATGTAGCATATATTGAGTCCTTGACATCCAAGTGTTGCAAATATCACACAACATTTTATGATTTTTATAACACTCTACGATAAATTGAATAGTCCTAAATATAATTCACTATAAAAATAATCTTTACCGAAAAAAAAGAAACACCAAATACGAAAACACGAACGAACAACCAACGCACACACTAATCAGATGACGCTTGCAGTTGCAATGACGCCGTATTCGTCATAGATAACCCACGTTTTTGTCTGTGTTGCCAAGTTAAAAAGCAGTAAAGCAATGATACTATGAAAAAATGCAGTACGTAAGTTGCAAATACTGCATTTTTTATTTGTATTGCGATAATGCTGCGTTTTTACTAAGTATTACACTATATTTTTTTAACTTACGGCAAAATGAACTATGGGTTTGATGACTTCGGAATATACCACAATATTTTTATATAGAGCGTTATTACACAGAAAACGATGTTAAAACGTTTGGTGCAATAATCTCGATTTTTCAATTTTTGCGATTACTGCGTTTTTTCTTAGGACGGCAGAATAGTCCTAATGTTGCTATTGTTCTACTTAAAACCTGTCTGAGGTGCAGTAAAAAAATTAATAGAAATCAGAAATATATGTTATAGAATATAACTTTTGTTGATAAATATGTTTTAAATATGTTTGTTGACAAGTTTAAATAAAATTCACTATTTAATATTTGAAGAGTTTTGTTTTGGAATTTAGAAAATGGTTTTAAAACTTGTGTTTTGGATAAAGAGATTAGCAGAGAAACTTATTTGTCTTGTCAAGATAAAATAAATTTTTAAGAATTTCAATATTTTAAGTTAAGTTTTATCTATTCATTCCATTTTTAATTTTATTTATTTTTTCCAATTAGGTAATTTTTTATGGTTGACTTTTTACAAAATATTTTATATAAATAATGATAATAGTTATTTATTTCAATACATTTTGAATTAAAATCAGAAAAGTAATTCAAGAATCAATTTTAAAACTCTATGTATTTAACTTAAGATAATTTCATTCATAAAGATTGAACTCAATATGTATTCTATAAAGTATTATCATAAGAGATAATATTATTTTATGACAATGATTGATTACAATACTGTAAATTATAATGTAAGGTCTTGTAATAGAGAGGAGCAGTAAATACAAACCCTAAGTCTCTAATCTCATACAGTGACATCTTATTTAAGAAAAAGATTACTTTAAAAATTGTGCTTTTTTAAGATTCAAGACTCAAATCGTTTTGCAAATATATAGTATATTTGGTTCGATATTCTATTCAATAGGTAATTTTTGAACTTAGAAGAGCTTTTTATTTGTTGTGTAATGTTAAAAATAAGTAATTCAAGATTTTTTTTACAATTTCTAGATAGATAAGTTATTTCTACAGCAGCCTACATCAACAGTGAGCGCTAGTTCTTTATTTACAGAACACAATTTTAAAAGATGCCTTACAAAATCTAATATGTATTTACTAGAAAAAAGAATCAAGACAGTAGAGTGACGAGTTGCTGCGGATAACAACATAATTGTTATGAAAGTTAATAATTTGAGTTTCAAAGATATATTATTTGTTATTTTTTAAAATAAAACATAAAAGTTCTTCTCATCTCAAGTTATCAAATTTCTTCTCCTTTTAACGTCACGTAATTTTTGTGTATTTTTGTTAAACAATTATTTGTTTATTTTAAAAAGTAGCAAAAATAGTTTTTAATTTTATTTTATGCAGTTTTTTTAAATTAACTGTGACGTCACAAATTATTGGCTTTCTTCCCACTCAAAGTGAGACAAAATCAATGAATGCTGTTCCCCGAAATGTGTGTCGTATTTTGCGAACGACTCTTAAGTATTTTTAATTTTTTTAATAATAGATGAATCCTCTTAGTCGTTGTGATAGCAATACTCCATAAAAATCAGCTTTTGCAATTGTAAAGTTGTCGATGAGCAAGGACGCTGGGCCTGTTTTAATGTCTCTGGTGGTAAACAAATTTAAAACATACACCCTGTATCATATGATAGTGGGTAAGAATAGTTTTATGCGTTTTTTTAGATTATTTTTACAGAAAATATATTGTCTTTATCCCAATCAGTCCTTTATGCAACTTTTTGCAAAACTTTCTGCAGTTCAACATTTATCAAATTTGATTGATATTTTTGATTTAGATGCGATTACACAACAGCATCATGATGCAAAAATTTGGGATTGTCATTCAGGCATTTCAGAATTTTAAAGACAATCAGGAACACGACTCAACCAAAAAGTTTTTAAAATTAACAATGCTACAAATTGTTTGAAATTGTAAATTTTGGTTGAAATTAAATTTGTTTTAAATAGTAAATTTTGTGTAACATTTAATAAAAAACTTTCTTAGTAACGCAATGCCTACTTTTTTTTATTGTATGTATATATATATATATATATATATATATATATATATATATATATATATATATATATATATATATATATATATATATATATATTATTGTTATTTTATAAACATCAATAAATACGATTTTCTCTCGATACTAAATTTATTTTTTATTTTTTAAAAGAAATTTTCGCTGGATTGTTGTGACCAGCGTCTTCAGCTGAAGACGCTGGTCACAGCAATTTACATACTCTCATACATGATGTCTACATTCAATATATATATATATATATATATATATATATATATATATATATATATATATATATATACAATAAAAAAACGTTTTTCGTAAACACAAAATAAACGTTGATAAGTAGCTAACAATTTGAAAAAAAAAAATCAATATGGAGTCAATGTTGACAAGAAACATTGAATCAGCATCAAATCAAAGCTTTTTTAGCGGGCTGGATTGCAGAATTTTTTTGCCAATTCAAATCTGATTTTAACTTTAACAGATCCAAAAAAATCATTAGCAAATACTGCATACGTTATTCAAAAACAGAAATTTATTGTCTATGCTTTAAAATTTACAAATTTTAAAGCATAGACATAAATTTAAGTTAATTTGTTTAAATAATTCCTACTAAAGTACAGTAAATCTCTAAAGTCCAAAGTTTAATTTAATGCAAAAAATTTTAAAAGCCAAAATTTTATGTTTTTCTAAAAAAAGACTTTTATTCAATAAAATCATTTTCAAAGTTTTTTTAATATGATAGCTTGATCAATGAAATTCTTTTGGTAATTTATTTTAATTTTTTGTTACTTTTATTATCTTAAAAAATTAAAAAAAAAAGATTTTTGACTAAATTACATTTGCTGTTTTAAAATTTTCACCCGATGCGCAGATTGTTAATGAGCATACAGGTAAGTTTCGTTGCAATGCATATATAAGAGAGCAATTATTTATCGCTTTTGTGAAGTTTAAAGAAAGACAGTTTGAGGTATGGTTTAGATTTGATGTTTTAGAGTTTTTTAAATCTGTTTACAGTATTGATTTTTGCTCAGAAGTTTTTGTTTAATATTTTTATAGTTTGAACTTGTTGATGCCATACATAAGTATGCTTTAGAAAGCGTTGCTAATAAAGCTCAGTTACTGAAAATTTATGTATTCACCTAAAAGAGTTACAATAGCCTTATTATCTATACAAAAACATATATAAATATAAATAAAGAAATTTAAAAAGATCCTAACGAAAGCTCACTTATGACATTATCTGATAATATGAATACGCTAATTTAATATTAGTCGAGCTAAATTAATATTAGTCTAAATTAATATTAGCTAAATTAATATTAGTCGAGTTACGTCATTTTCTAGGCTTTTCTATACGCGGTTTTTTTTTTAATTTTATTTACTAACAACGCGTATTACGGGTTGCTTACTGCTAGTACTTATTAATAAGAAAACACCTAATACACGAATCAATGCCTACGTTAGTACGCCTCGAATTAAATGAGAAATGTTCAAAAAACATTCACTTCGCTATCTAACCTTACAAAAATAACCAGTAAACTTCCAATGGATTTTTTATTGTAAATACAAAAGATAAATGGAAATTTACCGAAAAACATCATTAGATTTCAGTGATCTAAAACTTTAATAATAGTTCAGGGCTATTTTCCTAGTAATCAAAAACGTTGCTGGTTTACTATTTCTTGTAACTTTCATTTTCTTATTATAAATGTCTTTATTACAGATTATTTAAAATAATAGATGATGGTTCATTTTTTCATGTACACTAGTGATCAAAACTTTAGACTCAGAGAAAAAATTTCTTAAGCTTAGGTCTTAAAATACCAAAAAAAAATTTATTAAGATAATTTTTACAAAGATAAATTTTCAAATTTAATCTTTGAAACTTTTATGTAGTAAATTTAAAGTTTGTTTCCAACATAATTACAAAAAACACACACCTGTTATTGTATATATTGTTTTTTATTTTTTAATAATAGCACTATTTAAAAACAAATAAAATGTGTCCAAATATTTAGATCTTTATTTCCGTATAAGTGCCCAAACTTTTTTTCAAAGATTGTAATTCTAACATAGATCAAAATATTTTTTCTAAAATATTATGTTTAAATCCATTTGAAAAATTAAATTATCTACTTAATTCGTGCACGCTAATCAAATTATACATTTTTTAGTTATTATTTGCATTTAAAATTTTTAGAAAATGGGTAAAACATCAGTCTGGTAGTTCTACAAGAAAAGTTCAGTTGATTCTCAAGAACTTATTGCAGTCATGTGTCACTAAAACATTAGCTAAGTGGAAAAAAACAGGTAGCACATTAGATAAAATTAGATACAGAAGACCCAGAAAAACAACTAACACTGATGAAAATAGTATATACAAAATTGCCAGAAAAAATACTAAGTATAGTGCCAAACAAATTGCTCAAGAAATAAATCTAGCTCTTAAAAACGATATCTCAAGACAGACAGTATATAGAAGATTATTTGATCGTAATCTATGCTCGTATACTACTGCTAGAAAACTAATGCCTAAAAGATTAGATTTTTTCAAACGGCTATAATTTTGCAAGAAAATTGTCAAGACGAGTGATAGTGATATAAAAGAAAATTGTATTGAGCAACGAATTCAATTATACAGTCGTTAATCGAAAAAATAGAGTAACTGTTTGAAAACACCATAATGAGAAGTTTCATAATCGTTTCATTGTACCTCGGTTACAGGGCGGAGGAGGTTTAGTTGGGATCTGGGGTTGTATCACGTATGATGGACCCAGACTATGCTACTTGTACACTGCTAGAATGGACCAATACAGATACATCGAGATGCTTGAAAATCATTTGATTCTAACAAGAAACTTATTTTTTTGGAGATGAGCCAAAATGAAAGTTTCAGCAAGATAATGCCCCTCGTCACAAAGCAAAAACAGTAACAGCTTGGTATAAAGAAAATAAAATCAAGTTACTCCAGTGGCCAGCTAGGTCGCCAGATTTAAAACCAGATTTAAAACCTGAACAAAGCTCCTGTAACTTCAGCTGAAGAACTACGAGAAGTCTATAGGAGTTATTTGATGACTTGTCCTTTGAATATTGTTGAAATCTTTTTAAATCTATTCAAAGAAGATGTAGATTATGAACAAGATTTTTGTAGATATCTTTTTAGATGATTTTGCTATTTTCAAAATAAAATACTTTAAACTTGTTTTTCTTTTCACGTCTTTTATATATTTATTAAAGAGAATTTCATAAGTATTAAACTGGAATCAAAATAAAATTGATAAAATTTTTTTTTTTAAATCACAAATCACTAAGAAACTATAAGTTTCATTCTTAGTCTAAATTTTTGATCACTAGTGTATAATTGAAATATATATATATATATATATATATATATATATATATATATATATATATATATATATATATATATATATATATATATATATATATATATTCATAACAATGCACCAACGTGTGCATCATCATGAAAAGGAAGTAAGTTTAGGTAATAATACTTGAAAAGGAAGTAAGTTTAGGTCATAACCATTCCTGTACTTCCAAGAAACAACAGTGGAGTGTTCCATCTAAGAAACAAATTAGACTGCATGCTTCTGAAACATTAGTTAAAATAGAGTTAAAAAAATCAAAAAAAAAAAGAATACACAGATAATTTATCTAAGAATAGATTTATCCATAGTAAAGATAATAAATCTCTTAATGAAAACGATATAGATTTACTTGCTGAAATTACAAACGGTAAATGTGGCTTAGCTACACAAAGAAAGTTCGTTTTTTAATATCAGTATGGTACACAAAGAAGTTGAAATATGGACATGTGTTTATCGATTTTCCAAAAACAATTGCAGAAGTGAAAAAAAAAGTTGGTCCCTGCTCTTTTGAGATATTAATGAGTAACTTAAAAATAACAAAAGAACAACAGTCTTTACTTATTGCAAAATCAATCAGTCAAAGTTCAAGTGACAATTGGGTTTCAACATAGAAAATATAGAACTACAGCTTCAAATTTTAAATTTGCAGTTAATAAAATTAATAAAGGTAATGTTATTATTAATCATGAAAAGTCAAAATCAATAATAAGCAAAATTTGTTGATATAGCAAAAAAATAATTTAAAGGCTACAAGTTGGGGTATTAACAACAAGCCAATTGCTTGAAAAAAATACTTGAGTATTAACAGTCGCCTTTATAAGACATTTACAGTTTAAAGGGCTGGATTTTACACAAGCTTGTTGTAGCCTTTTTTAGGAGCAAATCGTGATGGTTTAGTTTCATGTAAATGTCATGAACCTGGATTGCTGGAAATGAAGTGTCCATGACCACATAGAGGACTTAGTATATGGGAAATTTGTCTTGCAAAAAAGTGTTTTTCTAGAAATTTATCAGAACAAGTTTTGCTTTAAAAGAAACCATGCTTATTTTAATCAAGCGCAACTGCAAATGTATGTAACAAAGTTCAAGTAGTGTGATTTTTTATGAACAAAGAGTTTCTGTGAGCGTGTTTATATTGATGATTTTTTATGGAAAAACCAATTTCCAAAGCAAATATAGTTTACGAACATTTGATAATGGCTGAGACATTTTTTAGAGAGTTATATAATTTAATAACAATAAAAGATGTCAAAGATATACTAAATGGCATGTTAAACAAGGTATGCACATCACACAAGGAAAACGTTGAAAATGTTAATAAAAGCATTATAAAACCTCTACATATGAATGAAGGAATTGACTTTAAAATTGAAAATTGAACTTGATCAATTTTGTTTAACTCTTGTGTTTATAATTTATTTTTTTGGTATCTAATTGTTTTCAAAAAATCTTGAGATCCTAAAACATAATTAAAACAAGCTTTTGTATACTTTTTATGCTATCTTTTATGCATTTTTAACAAAGTTTGCAACTTATTTAGAAAACTTTATGTGAAATATTTTGTAGGCAAAGTAAGATTTTAGTTTAGGGCTAAATCAGGAGTTTTCCTCTAGGTTTTTTTTTTTATTTCAAATACAATATGCTCCTTCATAGGGGTAAAACTACCCGAATAGTTGTCAAATGGGATAGGAGGCTCTTTAAGTATTTTATAAAATTATTTTTGACTAAAAAAGAAAGTTTATCAGTTTTCGGTTCAAATTTGATATGAAATGACTTGACTATACTGCCTAAACAATTTAAAGTTGTCGACAGGTTGGCTGATTAAACTCTTTAATTTGGTCAGTGTAGATATCATCTTTCTCATAAACGTCTACCTTGCGTAGGAAAACAAAAATATCTCTAAGAATAAAAATACCTATAACAGGTTCAATTGCATCAAAAGTTATGGTGCTGTATCGTTTAACTCTCTATGCGTTAGTGGTAGAGCGCTTGTTTTATACGCGACGTGTTTCAAGTTTAAGCCTCTGCAGCTAAAATATCAGCCACGATCTTTAGTCAGCCGTGGCGCAGTTGTTAGAGCGTTAGACTCGTAATCCAAGGTTTTAATCAAAGCAGGGATTTTTGGTCCCGTTATCGGTGAGGTTGGTCACCATAGGTTTACCTATGAGGCTGGGAAACGGAAAGTCAACTTATTAAATTATATTCTCCTTGTGGCAGTGCTCTGCGACAAGGCCATTAGGACTTCTTAGGGCGCCTTAATAACTCAAAATAAATAAACAACTTTTATCACAGATTTTTTGAAATAATCACATATAAACATTTATCACATATGTTATGGAGAAAAATAATGATTTTCTACGTATAAAAAATCTTGTACGGTATCAGTTTTTCTAAATTATTATTTTAACTAATGTATAGGTTTAAGTACATATGAATCGCTAACTTAAAAAAGGAGACAAGTCATGTGAATTTTAGCATGAACAAAACCCCCCTTTTTCAAATTACTGATTCAAATAATATGCATTGCCGTGACTAAAGAAAATTCGGGATAGTCTAAACACGACCCTAATAATATGCCTCACCCAGCAAGAATAAAGTTACACGCAATTTTTGTTAGGTTACATCTGTTTCAAATCCAATTTGATCCAGTATTTAATGTCAAACAAATGGCTATTTAATAATAGTGAATTGTCAAACAACTGCTAATTAATTGTTTGGAGTTGCATTTATTGATAAACTTTTTGTTTCTTAGATTGTAAATTTACTTTAAATATTAAATATATATTTTTATTACATTAAAAATCAATTTGTTAAATTTGTAAAAATCAATACATTTATTATATTGGTTAGCTACAACAAAATTTATTAACATAAATAATCAAACTTGTTTCAATTAGTAGCTTAAATTTGTAGTAGGTAGTTTATACAGATACCGATGGAGGAGCTAAATTCGTTAAAGCTGCACAAATTGTCAAAATGTTGTCCAGCTGGTTTTTTCTTTTTAAAGGAAAAACGTATTGCATTATATGATATTTTTTTATTCTAGAAATTGCTCTTTCCACGAGAATGCGAGCTTTTGCAACATTAGAGGTTTTTGTGGTATTTCTTTTCTAATATTATCCGTTATCCTTTAAAAAAGAGAAATAACAAGCTGAGAACCTTTTCCAACAAGTAAATCGCTAATATTAAGTCCTTTATCTGCCATTAAGGAATCTCTAGATACAATTTTATCTAAACTGCCACATCTCTCTGTTATAAATCGGTCTAATGCATTACCTCCATATGCTTTCAAAATAAAAGATACAGTACCAATAGGAGTTATACAAAATAAAACTTTCCAGGTGATTTTAGATTTGTACGTTGAATAGGTTTTGGCTTGAGCTTTAGCTAAACTAGGAATCTCTATTGCTCCTTTAGTGCAATCGATTATACCAATCACATAAGGAAATTTCTCAAAGAATTTTGGATTGGCATTTTTCGTTTCTTCTCTAGTCGGCCAATATATGAACTTTTTAAGCACTGAAGACATAAAGAGGATCTAAGTATTTAAAATGTTTGACACTAGAAATTGTGATATTTTAAATCTAAATGCAAAGTCATTATCTGTAAGTGCCAGTCTTAACTTGATAAGCACAAAAAACATAGCATTTTTGGTGTTTACTTTGCGATTGATTCTGTGTTTTTGATTAGTTGTTTGTAAATAAAAATGTGTTTTTTTAGCTTCTCCATTAATGTGTTTATGAAGCCATTCAAATAATTTTGCATTTTGTAATTCAGTATAGATACTAACATATTTATCACTTTAACTAATATCATCAAATGAAAAAGTTTTTTTTTTCTGCTTTTGAAACAGAAAGCTATAGATCTGATATTTGCTTTTTCTGTGCATTTATAACTTTTTTAAGATCTGATATTTTTTTTCTAAAGAAATACATCGACTGCACTTTTGGAAAAGTACAATCTTAGCACTATTATTGGTAGGTATTATATTATCATAACTGTGGTCACCTATGAAAGGAGTGGAGATGGTATTTGAGTTTTCTTGAAGTATCTCGAAGCCATCACGAATAATATTTTTCTCAAAATAAATATTTCTACTGTGTGGATCTTTCCTTTTAAAATTATTTTTATGCCCTTTAATGCCCTTTAAGAAATGTGCCCTTTAAGAAATAGTG